CAGGAAAAAAAAAAAAAAAAAAAAAAAAAAAAAAAAAAAAAAAAAAAAAAAAACAAGAAACGGTGTACAGAGTCTTCTTTAAAGACATATCTTCTAGAAACATAAAAGAGGATCTGATTCATAAATTTTAAAACATTTAAATTTAACTGTTTCCTTAAAAATATAAAAGAGCAATCCATTTTAAAAGAAGACATTTTTTAATGTGTATACCGAATTCCAGTGGAAGCTGAATTTCCAAATGGGGACCTTTCCATTAGAGAAAAAAAATGAAGGGTACAAATTTCTTCTTTTAACTTAGATTGAATATAGGGGACTTCAGACACAGCAATAAATTTATACTCACCTTCCATGAGCATGGAAATCTAGACGTAAAAACTGGTCCTCATGTGAGACTGCTCTTTTGGCACGCTGATGTTTTTGGTGTAATGAATCCACATTGTAAGATAATCCTTCATAATGTCTAATGTACTTATTTAAAGGATTCCCATACTGACCTATAAAAAATACACAACAGTCCAAATTAGTATCATCTTGAAAGCCCCTTTCAGTTCTAACATGATTCCATGATAATTCAAATATCTCCAAATTGTATAAAACAATTCTCACTAATTCCAGCACTAATATTATGAATCACCCACTAATATTTTCACAGTTTTTTTTTACAACTCATTATAATGATAATTTCAACCATACACAAAAGTTTGGATGTTAGTGGTAGGTTTGTTTTAGATGTCCTTTATCAGGTTGAGGAATTTCCCTTCTATTCATACTTTGCAGATGAAAACTATGAGAAACAGATGCTGATTTTTGTCATGTGCTGTTTCTCCATCTAGTAAGATAAACATGTAAGTTTTTTGGTTTGGTTTATTAATATGAATTAAATTGATTGATTTTTGAATGTTAAACCAACCTTACATTCCTGAGATAAACACCACTTGCTCATATCTTTGGATTTAATTTGCTGTAATTTTGTTTAGATTTTTTGTTATCTATGTTCATGAAAGACATTGATCTATTATTTTCATTTCTCATACTATCATTGTCATGTTTTGATATCAGGATAAAAAATGAGTTTGAAAAGTATTACCTCTTCTTCAATTTTCCAAACAAGTTGATGTAGAATTGGCATTATTTCTTCCTCAAATATTTAACAGAATTCACTAGTGAAACCACATTGGCATGGAATTCATTGTGGAAAGGTTTTTAACTACAATTTCAATTTCTTAAATAGATAAAGAGCTATTCAGGTTATCTATTTCTTCTTAAGTAGACTTTAGTAGGAATTTGTCCATTTCACCCAAGTTGTTGAGTTTATGAAAACAAAGTTGCTCGTGGTATTTCCTTATTATACTATTTATTTCATTAAAATTTGTAGTGATGTCACCTCTCTCACTCCTGATATAATGTATATCTTCTCTCTTTTGTTCCTAATCAGGATAGCTAGAGATTTATCAACTTTATTATCAAACTTTTAATCCCTTTGATTTCTCCTCCTTATTTTTGTTTCTATTTTATTGATTTTCACTTTGATATTTATTCTTTCCTTCTGCTGACCTATGGTTTAATTTGCTCTTTTTTTAGTTCCATAAGGTAAGGCCATCAGTTTAAGACCTTTCTTCTTTTCTAACATATGTTTTTAGCATTATAAATTTCCCCAAGTACTGCTTTAGCAGCAGCCCACAAATTCTGTTTCGTTGGTTTTACTTTCAGGCAAACATATTTTCTAATTTCCTCTTTGATTTCTTCTTTCATCAATGTGTTATTTAAAAGTCTGTTAATTAATTCCCAAGTATTAAGGATTTTTCCAGATATATTTCTGTCATTGATTTCTAATTTAATTCCTTTATAGCCAGACAACATACTTTACATGATGCTAATCCTTTTAAATACGTTGAAATTTCTTTTATGACTTAGAATATGGTCTATCTTTAAAAATGTTTCATGTATACTTGAAAAAATTTGTATTCTGGGACATCTGGGAAGATGGCAAGCTAGAGGTGCCTGGGGCATTTTCCTCCCACAGAAGAATATCAAAACAGACCCGATGCCACCACCACCACAGTCACCAGAGCCACTGTCCACCCCTAGAACTGCTGCTCATCACAAAGCAGCTCCCAGCAGTGGCCTGTCGCTGCAGCCACAGACTATGCAGAAGGGAAGGAGGCGGCTGCAACAACTGCCACCTTGCCACCACCATAAGTTAACTCACTGCCACGAAGGACACTGCAGATGCAACAGAGATGGCACTGCTACTGCCATGAGAGAACCCTCCTGCTGATAAGGACACAGTCAAGGACAATGCAGAGGCCAGGGAGGCAGTTGCAGCCACCACCATGAGGTAACCTCACTGTTGCCAAGGACACTGCAGACACAAGGGAGGTAGCTGAAGCTGCCAGCACAGCTGCTGCCTTCACAAGGTAACCTCATTGACCCTGTGGACATCACAGACACAACAGAGGCTGTTGCATGCCCCTGCTGCCCCCATGAGGCAACCCTACTGCAAATGCAGACACTTCAGACACAAGGGAAGCAGTTGCAGCTGCCAGCGCCCCTGCTTCCCCCACAAAGTAACCCCACTGCTGCCAGAGACTCAGCAGACACCAGAGAGGCAGGTGCAGCCACCAACGCCACTGCTGCCAACACTGCTGCTGCCACTGCAAAGTAATCCTCCTGCCACTGCACATGATGTAGCTGCATGGGCTGCCACTGTAGATACCAAAGCCAAATAGGTGCTTGCTGCAACCACCAACACTGCTGTTGCTGCCACCACTAGGCAGCCACCATAGTCATGTGAGCAGCCCACTGCTGCTGAAGCCACCACTGACACATGGATAGCTCACCAAAGCCACCTCCAGAACCACCACCACTGCAGGGATATTCTGCTATCAAAGGAGCAGCCACTGCCACAGAGTACATGGACAACCAACCACTTAACTGCATTGACACAGGAGGCTCACCAGCAGATTCCAGAGGAGGAGAATAACAGAAGCAGCAACTCCTCTACCAGATGATGAGACATCAGCGTAGATCCCAGAAATACAAAAACAATAAAATATGAGTCCACCAAAGGAATACAATAACTCTCAAGTGCCAGACCCCAGAGAGGAGGAAACCCTAAAAATGACATTAAAAAAAAAAAGCTTAAGCAGTAGACTAGAGCAAGCAGAAGAATTTCTGATCTTGAAGACAATATTTTCAAAATAACTCATGAAGACAAAAAAAAGAATTTTGAAAAAGGAGGAAAATCTAAGAGAGATAGCAGACAACCTTAACAGCACAAACAGCCAAATAATGGGAGCTCTGAAAGGGGAGGAGAAAGGAAAAAGCACTGAAAACCTATTCAGTGAAATGTTAGTGGAAAACATCCCAGGTATAAGGAGAGACACAGACCTTCAAATCCAGGAGGCTCAATGATTGCCAAAGAAATTCAATGCAAAAATGTCCTCTCCAAGATACATTATAGTCAAACTAAAAAAACTCAAAGATAAAGAGAGAATCCTAAAAACAGCAAGAGAAAAGTGTCAAGTCACATGTAAGGGAGTCACCACCAGACTATCAGCAGACTTCTCAACAGAAATTTTACAGGTCAAAAAGAAAGGAATGATAATATTCAAAACATTAAAAGAAAAATATTGCCAGCCTGTAAGGGAGTCACCACCAGACTATCAGCAGACTTCTCAACAGAAACTTTACAGGTCAAAAAGAAAGGAATGATAATATTCAAAACATTAAAAGAAAAATATTGCCAGCAAAGAATACTATACAAAGGAAGGCTACCCTTCAGAAGTGAGGAAGAAATAGTCTATTTCCCAGACAAACAAAAAGTATGGGAGTACACCACCACACAACAAGCACTACAAGAAATCCTCAGAGGACTCCTGCATGTGGAATCCAAACAATGGTAATCATTACCATGAATACACAAGAAAAAACAAAACCCCACTAGCAGAATAAAAAGGCAAATGAGAAAGAGAAAGAAACTGTATATTACCTCCAAAAACCAAAAAACACCAAAGACAAACAATAAAAGGGAAAGAAAAAAAGATATTTAAGACATCTGAATGAAAATCTATAAAATGCCAGAAATAAGACAATACCTTTCAGTAATAACCCTAAAAGTAAATGGTAAAATTCCCCATTCAAAACACACAGACTGGTTGACTAAATTAAAAAGCTAGACTCAACTAAATGTTGTCTACAAGACACTCACCTCTCCTATAAAGACACACACAGACTAAGAGTGAAAGGATGAAAAAAGATCTACCACAAAAATGGAAATTAAAAATGAGGAGTAGCTATTCTCATATAGGATAAAACAGACTTTAAGCCAAAAACTATAAAAAGAAACAAAGAAGGCCTCTATATAATGATAAAAGAATCTATACAGGAAAAAGACATAACGATCATAAATATATATGCACCCAACATCAGAGCACCAACATATATAAAGCAAACATTATTAGACCTAAGAGATAGACCTAAATACAATAAGAGTTGGGGACCTAAACACCACTCTCTCAAAATTGGACAGATCATCTAGGCAACAAATCAACAGAGAAACAAAGGATTTAAACACATTTTAGATCAACCAGACTTGGCAGACAACTAAGGAATATGTCATCCAACAATCACGGAATATCCATTCTTGTCATCTGCAAATGGAACATTCTCTTGGACAGACCACATGTAAGGTCAAAAATCAAGCCTCAAATTTTTAAAAAAATTGAAATCATTTCAAGTATCTTCACAGACTACAATGAATTAAAACTAGAAATCAATAAGAAGCAAAATGCTGTAAACTTTACAAACACATGGAAAGTAAACCACATGCTCCTGAACAACCTATGGGTCCAGGAAGAAATTAAACAGGAAATCAAAAAATGTCTTGAAACTAATGAAAATAAACACACATGAAACCAAAACCTGTGGGATGCTGCAAAAGCAGTACTAAGCGGGAAGTTTATTGCAATAAATGCTTACATCAAAAGAACAAAAAGACTTCAAATAAACAACCCAACACTACACCCCAAAGAACTAGAAAAACATGAACAATCCAATCCCAAATTAGCAGACAAAAAGAAATAATTAAGATCTGAGTGGAATTAAATCAAACAGAAACCCAAAAAATAACACAAAATATCAATGAAACAAAAAGGTGGTTACTCAAGAAGATAAACAAAACAGACAAACCATTAGGTAGCCTAATAAAAAAAATAAGAGAGAAGACCCAAATAACAAAAATTAGACATGAAAAAGGAAAAACTACAACTGATAACAAAGATATACAAAGAATCATTAGAGACTATTATAAACAACTATATTCCAACAAATTTAAAAACCTGGAAGAAACAGATAAATTTCTGGACACATAGAAACTAACAAGACTGAGCCAAGAAGAAACAGAAAACCTGAACAGACCAATAACAAGCAACAAGACTGAAGCAGTAATCAGCAGTCTCTAAACAAAGAAAAACCCAGAACCAGATGGTTTTACGGCTAAATTCTACCAAACCTTTAAAGAGGCATTAATTCTCTTCAAACTATTCTAAATAATTGAAACAGAGGCTATTCTCCCAAACTCATTCAATGATGCCAGCTTCACCCTGATACCAAAACCAGACAAACACAGAACATAAAAAGAAAACTATAGGCCAATATCTTTGATGAACATAGAAGTAAAAATCCTCAATAAAGTATTAGCAAATAGAATACAGCAACACATCAAAAAAATTATACATCGCAATCAAGTGGGATTCATCCCAGAGACACAAGGATGGTTCAACACAGGCAAGCCAATAAATGTAATACACCACATCAACAAAATCAAGGACAAACATTGTATGATTACCTCAATAGATGCAGAAAAAGCATGTGACAAAATTCAACATTCTTCCATAATAAAGACTCTCAGGAAATTAGTTATAGAAGGAAAGTATCTCAACACAATAAAAAGCCATACATGACAAACCCACTGCCAATAGCATCCTAAATGGGGAACAAGAACAGGAACAAGACAAGTATGCCCATTCTCATCAGTCCTATTTAACATAGTATTGGAAGTACTAGCCAGAGCAATCAGGCAAGAGAAAGAAATAAAAGGCATCCACATTGGAAAAGATGAAATCAAACTGTCCCCTTTGCAGATGACATGAGCCTGTATAGAGAAAAGTGTAAAGACTCTGCAAAAAAAAAATTCTTACAGTTGCTAAACGATTTCAGTAAAGTTGCAGAATACCAAATTGATATGCAAAAATCAGTAGCATTTTTATACCCCAACAACAAACTAGCAGAAAAAGAATCAAGAAAGCTAGCCCATTTACAATAGTCACCAAAAAAATAAAATATCTAGGAATCAATTTAACCAAGGAGGTGAAAGATCTATACAATGAGAACTACGAATCATTGTTGAAAGAAATTAAAGAGGACACAAAAATATGGAAAGATATTCCATGCTCCTGGATTGGAAGAATTAACATTGTGAAAATGTCCGTATTACCCAAAGCAATCTACAGATTCAATGCAATTCCTATAAAAATACCAATGACATTCTTCACAGAAATAGAAAAAACAATCTGAATATTCATATGGCATAACAAAAGACCCTGAATAGCCAAAGCAATCCTGAGTAAAAAAAAAATAAAGCCAGAAGCACAAAACTACCCATCTTCAAATTATACTACAATGCTATACTAAACAAAACAGCATAGTAGTGACACAAATAGACACCTGGACCAGTGGAATAGAACAGAGAACCCAGAATTCAACCCACATATTTACAGACAACTGATCTTTGAAAAAGGCACCAAGAACACACATTGGGGAAAAGACCACCTCTTCAATAAATGGTGCTGGGAGGGCCGGCCTAGTGGCGCACTGCTGTAGTGCACCGCTTGGGAAGTGCGGTGGCGCTCCCGCCGAGGGTTCGGATCCCACATACAGACCGGCCGCTCACTGGCTGAGCGAGGGGCGGGAGCAACACCGAGGGTTGCGATCCCGTGGCCGGTCCCGGTCCGGTACGGGCGTGACACTGAGGGTTGCGATCCGTTGCCGGTCACGAAAAAAAAAGACAAAAAGGAAAATAAATAAATAAATAAATGGTGCTGGGAAAACTGTACAGCCATATGTAGAAGAGTGAAACTAAATCCATACCTCTCACCATATACCAAAGTCAACTCAAAATGGATTAAAGACTTAAATATAAGATCTGAAACTATAAAACTTCTAAAAGATAACATAGGGGAAACACTGGAGGAAGCAGGACTGGGCAAAGACTTTATGAATATGACTCCAAACACACAGGCAACAAAAGGAAAAATAAGGAAATAGGACTATATCAAACTAAAAAGCGTCTACACAGCAAAAGAAACAATTAACAGAGCGATAAGACAACCTATGGGTGGGAGAAAATAAGTGCAAACTATGCATCTGACAAAGAACTAATATTCTAGAATATAAAAGGACCTGAAACAATTTAACAATAAAAAACAACCCAATTAAAAAATGGGCAAAGGAGCTGAATAGGCATTTCTCAAAAGAAGATATACGAATGGACAACAGACCCATGAAAAAATGCTCAGCATCACTCAGCATCAAGGAAATGCAAATCAAAACCACACTGAGATATCATCTTATCCCAGTTAGACTGGCTATTAACAAAAAGACAGAAAATTACAAATGCTGGTGAGGGTATGGAGAAAGAGGAACTCTCCTACACTGTTGGTGGGACTGTAAATTGTTGCAGCCATTATGGAAAACGGTATGAAGGTTCCTCAAACAACTATACAAAGAACGACCATACAATCTAGCTATTCCACTGCTGGGTATATACCCAAAGGACTGGAAATCATTATGCTGAAGGCATACCTGCACCCCCATGTTTATCACAGCTCTATTTACAATAGACAAGAGTTGGAACCAACCTAAATGTCCACTCTCAGACA